CAGTTCAGCTCTGAAAAAGCCCCTGGACGTCAAACTGCAGCGCTTCAAAGAGCCGGAGCAGAGAAACGAGCCCCCGTAAGCCGCAGGCAGCCTGGACGCCATGAATCACCGCCATCAGGCCCCCTCAGAAAAATACTCCACTTAACAGGAGCGCAGACATAATTAAACCTGCGACCTTGAGAGTTAAAAACATGATGGATGGCGGCGTGCACGCGCCTGCTTCCCGCTCTGCCAGGACTCCTCAGTCAGGAGCCGTTTATTGGTTCAGAAGCTTCAAAAACCCCAACAAATGTGTTCAAAGATCAGCGTTTAGTGCTTTTTCAAGAAATCAAAAGAGGGCCGAGAAGTCACCTGAAGCAGCCTTCGACTCTGGGCTGCTTCTGGTTCTGTTCGGCTCTTTACTGGAGTACGTTTCGGCCCACAAACCTGCAGATTTGACACTAGAAAGCAGCAGCAAATGGTCCGTCAGAGCAGCAGGGGCCAGTCCAGGGGTTTTGTCTCGGGGGGAGAAAACAAATTGAAAACTCTTAATACATTTTAAATGCTTCTAGATGTGCAGTGACTTTAGGCAGGTTAAAATATGACTAACGGAACTATTTACTTACCCAAATGCACACAGAATAAAGCACGTCAGCACTTTCTGAAGGACGCAAATACACAGTTTATCCTCCCCAAAAGGGAAATTTAACTGTCCACGAGCTAAAAATAAAGAACCATCACACTTCATCTCAGCAACGACAGTACGGAAATAAATGAAGATAAACAAAATACAGTAAATTAAATTAAATTGACCCATCGTCCAGCCTGCTGAAGGCGGTGGTGGGGGGGTGGGGGGTGGGTGACTGATTCAGGATCTAGAGATGCCTGATTAGGAGATGTGCTGCTCCTTCTCATCCATTAATCACTTATCTTCTTTTTCATAACACTGAAATTGTATGTAAATTAGCTTAAAAGGAAAATGACTTTCACTAAACCCTAAACCCAACACAGTCTAGGTGTCTCGTGGGGTAATTCTATTCCTAACTGATGCTTTAATGTCCCCTAAAGGGACACTTTGTCTCTGAAACCGTCCTTGTTCCACGGGAGGCTAATGGCGGGCTAGTGTTTCCCCTTCACTTCCACTCGTTACGCTAAGCTAGCGTGCTATGCTAATTAACACGTGACGTAATTTTCGGGCGACGCAAACGACAGCGAACAGGCGCTACGAAGCGGTTGTTGGCTTACATAATTCTGCGTTTACAACGTTTACGACCACAGAAGCAACGAGACAGGACTTTTTTTTGTCGTTGCCGTGTTTTTTTTATGTATTTATTTTTTTATAAAGGGCGGGTTCACCTGACGGAGTCGCTGTGGAATTACGTCACTTCCGGGCCGATCAGTATTCGGCAGTTTTGGACTGTGATTGTTTAGAATGAATTCATTCTGATTGGCTTGAACTGGGTTGTGTCTATGTATGTGTGTGTGTGTTTCTATTAAACTTTTATAGAAAACTCACTTCCTGGAAAAGGGATCCTGAACCAGTTCCTGAGCTGTTCACCTGCAGCAGAGGCTGTGTGGAGTCACAAACACATTCCTCCCGTTCCAGATCCCATCCGAAGGTTTGGTTTCTCTCCATTTCCAGTAACAAGGCACAGCAGACTTAAATAAACTGAGCTCCTAAGGAAAGGCATTGCTCCTTCTCCGTCTGAGCCACAGCTCAGCGATGCTGCATAGGACAAGATAAGATAGAATTTACGGATCTCACAGTGGAGAAATTCACATCGCCTCTTATGATCAAAAGAAGGTGGCAAAAGGAGGAAAAGGTGCATGAAGTATATACAGTGCGTCGAATATGTACAATGGACCGGAAAAAAAATAAATAAAGAAGAGATTTAAGGTGCCTTAAATACATTTAAGGTGACTTCTATACATGGATTGACGTTGTACATTGTTGCACGGGGTATTAAATGTTAATTACACAGTAATTATTGCACAAGTTATTGCAGTTGTAGTCTATTTTATCCAGGACACTTTACTGTCTGAGCAGGGGGCTGAAACAGAAGTCTGAGGCAGAAAAGGGGCCGAAAAGCCCCAAACGGAACCGCGCAGCTCCTCGTGTGACACCACACAGAACGGCTAAACCCACCAATTAAACCCGCAAACAAACAATTACTCGAGTCAACGAGAGCAATTAGGTGCGCGAGGCCTCCGAGGGCCCAATCTGCATAGTGAAGGGCTCATTAGCATGAGGGTGAGCGATGGCGGCCCCTCCCTCATCGGCGGGCTCTCGGAAAACACTCTGCTGGGCCTCGTTTGTGTGTTTGTGGACGAGCCGGGATGACCGGTCTGAGGCCGTATTTCACACCTGAAACCGGTCGTTTGGTTTTATTTTATTTCACACATATTTTTTATTGTTGTCGGAACAGATGTACAACGTCATACAGGTTTGAATGTTTTACAGTTGTTAAAATTCCACAGCGTACAATGTAACAAGAATATCATTTTAACAATTTATATTCTTATATTGTTATAAACCCCATCCAACCCTAACAATCCCCGTGCCAGCAAAAAAAACAAAAAACAAATAATAATAACAGTAATAACCATAATAATAATAAAAATAATTATAAATAACAATAATAATAAAACTATTAATAATAATAATAATTTTAGAATATGTTTTCTTTTTAATAATTTCCTTTTTTATCCCAAGATAAAAGTACTTTACGTTGAAGCTTGTTTACTAGTGAGAGGGGAGAGTTGCAAGTTTGTCAAAATAACCCGGTAAAGGGTCCCAGACTTTGTAGAATTTTTTGGTTGATCCTTTGGTTAAAGTATTTAGATTTTTACATTTTTAGGAACATTATCATGTCAGAAAGCCACATTGATGCATTCGGTGGAAATTGGGATTTCCATTCTAATAGTATTCTCCTTCGAGCAATCACAGTTGGAAATTTTACTTATTTTCAGATGTTTGAAAATTCGTTTAGGCAATGGGAAGTAGAGGTTCTGCTGTGTAGCATTAAAGGGCCGGGTTGTAGATCTAGGCCAAAAAGCAACATTCAAAATCCCAAATCCAACAGAACCTCTGCTTCTGATTGTCTAAACAAATTTTCCAACATCCGAAGGGAAATTTGATCAAATATTCGACTCAACACCCGAAATAATTTTACAACATATGACGGAGTCATAGAAATTTTTTTTTTTCATAAAAATAAAATAAAATAAAAATAAATAGGTTGAGTCTCTGAGGTAAAGGGACAATAAAGGGGTGATAAAATTTCCCTTTTATTTCTTTTTCCATCTCTCTTATATAAGTCATATGTTTTATTGCTATGTGTAATTATCTGCAGTATTTATTAAGGAGTTATCGTAGGTTTTCGGAACCAATTCTAGGAATTACAGTGTATTCTGATAGGAATATTTTAACCAACCAATATTTGAATAGACGATTTCGGTCCTGGAACCAGTTAGACTCCTATGTAGAGGTTATACTGAATTGATTTCCAAAACTCTCCCGGCTTAGAGCAGGACCAGAACCTGTGAGTCTAATTCAGCAGGTCTGACCTCACTGAGCATGGCGGAGAACTTTAAACTGTATCAGACTGACAAAAGGAGGTTTCATTCACACAGTTAAGACTCACCTGATATTATGTTGTTTTATTAACAAGACAGGAAACAGATGGAAGTCGCACCCATGAAGACGCTGACTGCATCGTGGCCTCGGGCCCTCTGCTCTGGACGGAGCAGGTTCAGGACTGAGCAGAAGCCGGTCCCAGCGTCCTGTTGGGTTCAGCCCTAAAACCTGTGTGGAGCTCTGCTGCCACCTGCTGGTGGTCCCGCCGGGCCCAGGACCCAGACCGGGTCCTCAGTCAGGGAGACCCCAGAGCCTTCTTTCTGCTTCACTCAGGAAAACACACCTCTTTGGGGACATCTTCCAGTTCAGGACTGACCACCTGGAAGGGAATAAAAACTGTAATTCAAAGGTCAGCTGACACTCCAGAAGCTTTGCAGCTTTTCTAGCCGGCGGGTCGAATCAGAATCAGAAATACTTGAATAATCCCAGTGGGAAATTATTTTCGTAACACACTCCAGATATACAAAAACAACATATATATATACAGAAAAAATCTGAACCCTGACGAAGAACCAAAACCAGACCAGCAGCAAGACTTACAAATCACAGGAAATGTTTTTAAATAAACATCTTTTTTTTTTTAAAGAGAATTGCAAATTAATATTAGAAGATTCAGTTTCGGCCAATCAAATAAGAGAAATATAAAATTGTGAAAGCAGGCATTTGACCCCCAAAAACTACATGTTGGGATGTGATGCTGCTTTTTTGTCCACCTAAAGATCAGTTCTTCACAACCCAGCTAATCAGGTAATTTACTGTAAAAATATAAATATAAACATATATAAAAAACACACAAAGAGTAATTTCTTCATTTCAGGACTCATTTTATCAGACTGAGCTCCATCTTAAAGACCAAAAGTAAAATCAGTTCTGGATCAGACATTTAGCACCTCTAAGGCATTAGAGGCCAGAAACAGGTTTTGAGAGCCCTGCCCATGCAGGTCTGAGGCTTTACAGGACTAGAACCAGGTTTTACAGGACCAGAACTAAGTTTTTAGAGGAGCAGAACTGGGTTTTTAAGAGGACCACAACCAGGTTCTTAGAGCCCCCCCCATGCAGAGGACCAGAATTATCTTCTATAGTTTTATATATCTTATTGATTCCGTTTTATAGGATAAATGCTGTTTTAGGTTATTAAACCTAGTGATCTGGTCCTGCTTTTCAACAGGAAGTCGCGCTGTCTGCAGGGCAAAACGAAGAAGAAGGAGTTCTCGCGATATCTGCTGCGGTATAAAACCCTCCGCGACCGCGTTTCGGTCTTTCTTCCCCTTTTTAGCGGTGAAGGTGCAACAGTAATCGGTCGTCCCCGAGCCGGGTTCATCCGACACCCTCACCAATCAAGCTGAACTGAGCTCAACTCTGCAGTAGCAACATGCCGCCCAAATTCGACCCCAACGAGATAAAAATCGGTATGTTTCAGGGCTCAGAGGGTATTAGAAGCCTGTTGGCGGCCCACACGGAGCCGCTGGGTCCCGGCTGCCTCCGCGATCCCCGGCCTGCGGGCCGTGCCCAGAACACGGTAAAGTTTGGAGACAAACCCCAACAGAAAGCAACGGATTTGGCCTGTTTTTGTCTTTATGCTGTTTAACGCAAGTGGGATCCGGTGTGTTGATGGATATGGCGCCACGAGCGGACTGTCAGCGCACGTGCGAGAATCTGCGAGCTGCTAATGCTAACATGGCTAAAGCTAGCTCATTAAGACAAGTGGGGCTCTTTATTTCGCTTTTTTACGTATTTATCCTGTTTCTAACTTCTCACATGGAGATTCTGGATATTTTAGAAAAAGGTTGTTGCTCGGCCGTGTGTCAGGATTAGTAAATGTTAATAAATATGAAGTAAATTAAAAGTCCCACTGACGGTAAGGAGGGGGGGGACTGTCTGTGTCTCGTGAGGTCGGCTCATCAAAGGTTTTTAGAGGCTTTGGAGGACCAGAATGATCTTTTAGAGCTTTTAATCCTGTGTTTTTTGCCTTCCAGTGTACATGAGATGCACGGGAGGAGAAGTGGGAGCCACATCGGCTCTGGCTCCTAAGATCGGACCTCTGGGTCTGGTGAGTACTGGTTCTGACCGGGTTTCCGGCCCAGTAGCCTCCCGCCACTGCGCCCGACTTGTGGCGGTTTGCGGTCCAGTGGGGGCTCAGAGCAACCCGGCTTTAGGAAACAGGGCTGCCCGGTTACGGTGGGCCGCCCTGTGCCGTAAAGCCCGGCACAGACGGTCCTGCTGGGACCCGTTCTGGACCTGTTTGGATCTCGGGTTCTGATCGTTCTTCTCTGTCCAGTCTCCCAAAAAGGTCGGTGACGACATCGCCAAGGCGACCGGCGACTGGAAGGGCCTGAGGATCACAGTGAAGCTGACCATCCAGAACAGGCAGGCGGCGGTAGGTCCCCCACAGGGGTCGGGGTTCTGGTTCTGATCCTGGTTCTGGTTCTAAGACGGTCTGTCCCCGCAGATCGAGGTGGTTCCCTCTGCGTCGGCTCTGATCATCAAAGCTCTGAAGGAGCCTCCACGAGACCGGAAGAAGGTCAAGAACAGTAAGTGGTTCTGATCTGGTTCTGGGTCGACCCGGTCCAGCTGTGGTCTGGTTCTGACGGTCTGGGCTGACCAGGTCCAGTCTGGCTAGAATGGGTTCTGATAACTCTGTCCTGTGACTGGTCTGGTCCGTTCCAGCTTGAACTGGTCTGGCTCTGGGTTGACCCGGTTCTAACTCTTATCCTGGCTGTCCGGTCTGACTTGGCCGTACCTTTTCCTGACCTGGTTCTGACCCGGTTCTGTCTGTCCCCACCAGTCAAGCACAGCGGCAGCGTGACCTTTGATGAGATTGTGGGCGTGGCCCGCGTCATGAGGCACCGCTCCCTGGCCAGAGAGATGTCAGGTGAGCCCCCCCGACCCGGTTCGGACCCGGCCCCCCGCCACTGCGCCCGCCTCGTGGCGGTTTGCGGTCCAGTGGGGGCCCAGAACAAACCCGGCTTTAGGAAACAGGGCCGTCCGACGCCCGTGGGCCGCCCTGTGCCGAAAAGCCCGGTACAGAACCCGAACCGGCTCCGGAACCAGAACTCACGGAACCACTTGTACCCAACAGGGACCATCAAGGAGATCCTGGGAACCGCCCAGTCGGTGGGCTGCACCGTGGACGGGCGCAACCCCCATGATGTCATCGATGACATCAACAGCGGCAAAGTGGAGTGTCCAACCGAATAAAGCGGTCAAACCAGGAAGAGCTGTCCGTGTTTTTGTGGGAGAAAAGGGGGGCGAGGGGTCCTGAACCAGGGCCAGAACAGGCTGCTGGAACATAATAAAGCTCCTGAGAGCCTGTTCTGATGTGACGACACTGCATCTCTGAACCAGATCCTTGTTTTTTTTCTTTAACCTAAGCCTCACAGACACTGTTTGGAATCTAGTTTAGTTTAACTTGGCTTGTTTTGGCCTAGCTTATCTTTGTTTGTATGTTAATATCTTATCCTAGTTTATCCTTAGCTTTCTCTGGGGATTTTCCTCCAGTGGGTCTCCTTTACTCCCGATTTCCTGTTCTGATGTGAGGATGTAGCATTTCGGCCTTTGTTTGGCCTTAAGACACAGTTTGAAATCTAAAGGAAAATGCTTTAAGATTTTACACCAATCATGTTCTTATTGTGACATTAAAATGTAAACTGTTTGTTTGGACCCTAGAGAACCAAATTGCATAGAAAACACTTAATTGCATAAAGAACATTTTAAATCTAAAGATATACCTACAGCCCCTGAAGAAAAACTACCTGAACTGGGACAAAGTCTAGTTCTTCAACTTATCAGATCCACAGATCTGGAACAAAGCAGAACCACATAAAATATTTGGCTTTTGGGAGGTTAAAGGCTCCTCAGGAAGCTCTGAGACCACAAAAACACTGCCCTCAGTTTGTTTAGAGTGTTTTTAAAGAGTTCAGAGGCTCAGAGAGTTGTTGAGATTTGGGAGAAAAAAAAACGGAAACTCTTTGAAATCCTGATGAACTGAAAATAGAGAAACACTGACGCAAAACAGGTCAACAAAGGCTTAAAAACACAAAAGATGCACAAAAACCCTGAAAAAAAAGGAATGAGGCAAAAATTATAAAAGAAACGCACAATTTATAAAATAAACTTAGACCAATTGAGATGTACAACTATCAGAAAAATACACAAAACATCTACAAAACTGTCATAAAAAGCCATAGAGAAAAAAGAAAAAGATGCCAAATGCAGATAATGTGGAGCCGATTTAAACGTCAGAGTAATTAAAGCTGCTCCTGATGCTCTCTGAGACAAAAGACACAAAGATGTCGAAGCTGATTTGAGAGGAAATGGAGAGAAAAGCCATCGGGAAGAGCAGAGAGTTGAAAGCTGAAAGCTGCTCCTCTTTGGGCTTTAACACAATTGACTGATTTCTAACAAAAATAAAGATGTTTTCTTGTTTTTTTGTTCATTAGAAACCAGTTAGAATAGATGAAGCTGAACCTATCGGATGAAAAAACTAATCAGGTTTGTTCAATTAAAGCTGCTTTCTGAAAACAAACAAGAAAAACGACTAAATACATTTCTGAAAACATCAAATCATGATATTTAATCATTTTTCCAGGAAAAAAATAACCAAAATAACACAAAGAATGGAAGCAGAGATGTGAAGTTTAAGCTGATTTTGAAGGAAAAGGAGCCTTTAGCTGCTCCTCTTTGGGCTCTAACCTCAGAAACTACCTTCAGATTCAGAGCTTTTTAAAGACATTTCCTTTTCCTATCAGGCGGGATCAGAAACGTGGGCCTCTGGTGAGCGTCCCTGAACAGTGAGGTGGAGGTTTGGTGGCTAAACGGGAGCTGCTCGCCGGCCCCGAACGGACTGAAAGCTTCTTTTTTTAGTAGAAAACATTTATTAAAGTTTCCGTCAGTCGTTTAAACGAGTACAAAAGTAGAAATGTGTGAAAGCTGGAGGCTCCCAGTTAGAGCCACAAACTGAGGGGGAATCACAGGATTTTCAGAGCCCCCCCTCTACATCAGTTCTCCACCTCCTCCTCCTCGGCCTCCTTCTCCCCTACCGGCTCCTCCTCTTCCTCCTCGGCCTCTTCCTCCTCCTCCCGGCCCTTGTCGGCCTCCAGGCCGGCCTTCTTCTCTTTGTCTCGGCACTTCTGCTCAGAAACGTCCTTCTTCCCCTTCTGGCCCTTCTTGTACACTGTGGGAGAGAAGAGGAGCTCCAGACCAGGACCAGGAGGACCAGGACCACCCCAGACCAGGACCAGGAGGATCAGGACCACCCCAGACCAGGACAAGGAGGACCAGGACCACCCCAGACCAGGACCAGGAGGACCAGGACCACCCCAGACCAGGACCACCCCAGACCAGGACCAGAAGGACCAGGACCCCCTCCAGACCAGGACCAGAAGGACCAGAAGCCCCCCCAGACCAGGACAAGGAGGACCAGAAGCCCCCCCAGACCAGGAAAGGAGCTCCAGACCAGGACCAGGAGGACCAGGAGCCCCCCTCCAGACCAGTAGTCCCTTCCAGGACTCTGCTGGTTAGAGGAGACTCAGGGCGCGTCTGAAACAGGAGGTTCTGATGAGTCTCAGCCCTGGTCCTCAGGACCCAGTCCTGCATCTGGACCAGGCGTCCTGGAGCTGGACAACATGCAGGGCTGTGGTCCCTGTGGACCAGGGCCGGGGAAACACTGGATGAAAGGAACCGGGTCCAAACAGCAGGGGACTCCGGGCCTCTACGGGTCGTCCAACAGGTTTTAAAGGTCTTCCTGCTTCTGCACACCTGGTTCTGGTTGAACTGGACCTCCTCTGGACATGGTGGAGCTTTGCTAAAGGCTCTGTGACAGGAATCAGGTGTGTTGAAACAGGGAAGCCTCTAAAACCTTCAGGACAGAGACCCAAAGAGACCTAGAGAGACCCAGAGAGACTTAGAGAGACCCAAAGAGACCCTGAGAGACCTAGAGAGGGCAAGAGGGAACCAGAGAAACCTAGAGAGGGCAAGAGAGACCCAGAGAGACTTAGAGAGGGCAAGAGAGGCCCAAAGAGGATCAGAGAGACCAAAAGAGGTCCAGAGAGACCAAGAAAGGACCAGGGAGGCCTGGATTCTGACTCCTGTGCCCTCCAGACTCCAAAGCCACATGGGCTCTGGAGGAGCCAGGAGAACCCCTTCCTGCATCAGAACCTGGACCTGAAGCAGAACCCAGCTCCCAGCTGCCCCCAGAGGACTCCGGGTTCTGGGCTCAGGGAGTCCTCATCACCCCCAGTCCACACCCACCGTCCAGCGCCTCCCTGAGGGGCTCCAGGAACCGCTCAAACTCCATCTCCTCCATGGCCGCCAGCACGTCTCCGGCGTTGAGCGTCTTCCGCTTGGCCTTCATGGCAAAGTTGTTGGCGCTGAAACACAGAGAAGCCGCCGCTGCTTTACTGGTGCTCTACTGGGAGCGCTGGGGGGGAGGAGGGGCCGCTCACCAGGACGTGGCGTACAGCACAAAGACGCTGGCTGCCTGGGAGATGGCTCTGCGGGCCTCTTTGGACACGTTGACGCCGTCGGGGAGCTGAAACACAGACAGGAGTCAGGCTCAAAACGCACGAAGGAGCCCATTTCCAGCCACTTTCAGAGCACTTCCAGCTTAAAACCTGCAGAATAGACAGCTAACGATCTAAATATTTACAATGAAGCTGCAAAAACTTTGAGTTCACACGGATGGAGGGTCGTTTCTATTAAATCCAGACTCGAATGAAGCTTCCTGCTCATGTCACAGCTGCTCTAGAGGATTATTTGAACACATAAAGACCACGAGGGGTGAACTCTGCATCGTCTTTCAGATGGGTCTGTCAGCAGAGACGCAGGCTGGAAGCGGCCCGGTTTTCAGTCCCACTTTCTGAGAGGAACGGGTTAAAAACCGCAGCTTCTTGGCGGGGTACAAGTACCCCCCCCAGCCGTTTTCAGGCAGGAGGGACTGGATCCCGAACCCTTCTGGGCCCAGTTTGAGGACCTGTACTTCATTGTTTTTAAAGCTTTGTCTCAAAGACAAAAGCAAAAAGGCCCAGAAACACAGTCCAGAACCAGCGGGCTTTTAAACACAGTGGGCCACAATGCAGCGTATTCTGTCCCACATTTGGATTTTTGCTCTCAGTGAAAAGCAGAAAGACGATGGGAGCAGACTTATTTACAGAAATGTCTAATTGGTTTGTATTTAGTGAATTTCATTGGCATTATTGTTATTAGCAATGTGTCTGTGCTTCTTCTGTGAACTCTCTATTCAATAATAGTCTGTTCAGACACAAAAGTAAGAAGAAAATAAAGCTAAAAAAATAGTTTAAGTTTTAGTCTGCGTATTTTGTTCGCTTCCTGTTCCTGGTGACGTCTCCCAAATCCGGATTAAGAACCGTTATGGAAACGCGGGGTTTGAACGGTTCTGCTGGTTTTCGTCCTGAATAAAAACTAGAAGCATCGATTAACTTCGACTGAGGTGATTTTTAATGAACCGAAAACGGAAAGCGGTTCGGTCCCGAGCTCCGGAACTGAAGCACAGTGAGGCTGTTCGGTCCTAACAGCAGTGAATGCGGGGGGCTCATGCCGGGGAAGCTAACACCGGCCCGGGGAAGCTATTACCGGCCCGGGGAAGCTATTACCGGCCCGGGGAAACCCACACCGGCCCAGGGAAGTAAACACCGGTCCGGGGGAAGCTCACACCGGCCGGGGGAAGCTCACACCGGCCGGGGGAA